AAAGCTATAAGTATAAAGGATATTATTTAACCTATTAAAAAATATCAGAAGCCAAGATTTCAGCATTTCAAACTGTAATGATAAAATACATTCCAAAACTTTAAAAATGACTAATTTTAGCTTCATCTTTCTTTTAAACTGTGAACCTGCTTGTCCACAGTGTTCTTCCGAGGAAGGCAAATTGATGCAGTTATGTAAAAAGTTGTGGTGATTTCTGTTACTGGCATCATTTGAAACCATCCTATAGGCTTGGTACTAGATCTCACCAAATCCTGCCTTGATAAGGGCATATGTGAAGAATTCACACAAATGCAAATCATTTCAGCTCTGGTTCTACTATGAGAGCTCTAGGATCCATAGTGACTATATTCACAAAGAGTGTTCATGCATTACATCCTCATTACGGGATTGAAGGAAACCCAGATATATGTCTGTCTTATGAAACTGAGCTGAATTCATATTCTATTTGTTTTAATTTATTGATTAGAAGTGCTATATTTTTTTAATTAACTCATATACAAGTAACAGGCTGTCTAACAAACACATAGATAGGAGGAAAAAAGAGGGGGAATAGCTTACAGCATATTCATAATAATTACTAGCAGTTGGTAGGGTGCACTGGTACCCTTAATGACAAGAAGTTTTGCTGCAATCCCAAGGGCATGCAGTTCGAATCCACCAGCTGCTCCATGGGAGAAGGATGAACAGTCTCCTGTGTGAGAGTCAGCTTGGGTTAGTTCTGACTCGATGGTACATAACAGCAGCAGTTGGTTTAGAGCAGACGTGGCAAAGTCACAAAGATTGGTCTTACTTGCTCTCCTTCAGTGAGTGTGAGCTTGCTTTCCCCCTCAATGTGTTATTTTTAAAGTAAGAGGTTTCATAGAAACTTCCAAAGACTCTTCTTTTCCAATTTGTTGCTATTTTTAAAATAGGAGGCTTCACATAAAAATTTATTATTTCTAGATTTTCTTGGAAAAATCTACAGAACTAATCAAAGTAGCTCTGACTATTCCTTTATGCTTACCCTGACTACTAATTTCTGTTATCTCTTTAGCCCTCATAACTATTCTGCTGTTTAAAGTGTTAAAATATGAATGCAGGAAATAATGCTTAAATGCCATTGGCTAATGATATAAATTTTAAGAAGTGGATGAGATAAAGTGAAAATGTATATTAGTTAGGGAAGGATATCTGGTTTCGGGTTCCCAAGTAAAAAATATGTATTGCTAAGAAATCCAAAAGGAATATTAATAACAGTTGACCAATTTAACCAAGGTTCAGAAAGCAAAAGATTTCCAATTTATGTGCCAAAGACACTAATAGGCTGTTAATATGAGTTTCTAAACGTGCTTTTGAATCAACCTTTTCCCTCAACCCAATTGGAGTTCAACTACCTTGAGATTAATAGCAGCATTAACAATAATGGTTATTTTTTAATAATGGTTATTGCTCATCTTTCTCCTTTGGAGCCACTGGTAGATTCAAACTGCCTGCCTTTGGGGTGACAACACAGCTCCTTTTACACTAGGCCCCCAGAGTTCAATTAGGTACATTATAAGTGCCCAATAAATAAGTCTGCTTTCCTATCAATCCCAAAATGATGTCCAATTTCTCACACTCCAACGTCTTTGAAATTAGGATAAGCCTTGGAACTGACAACATGTCATTGGCAGCACATAAAAATATTGGTGAATAAAAAAGTGACAATATCTTTTTTTTTTTAATTTCCATTCACTGTTGCACTTTTCTCCCCTCCCAACCCTCCTCCCCAGTACACTACCCTCTTGGAAAAGTAAAAGAAAAATTCTTTCATTGTTTTACAATCCCTCCCCCCAGGTCCACTCCACTATACAGCCTTCACTCTAAACTCCTGTTATGACAAAAATACCTAATCACATATCCCTTTTAAACAGTTTTCTCCCTCATCTGTTTCAATGCAGTATACACTATTGAACCCATCTTTTGAAGTCTCTCCCCAACCCCAAGGTCAGTCCTGTTTTACAACAGTGGTACCATGCAATATTTGTCCTTTTGTGACTGAGATACTTCAC